TTACGTTACTACTACACACACACGCGCGCCACACACACACACACACACACACACACACACACACACACACACACACACACACACACACACACACACACACACACATGCAAAACAGTTTTATTTAAAAATCATAAAATTTTGCATATAAGTGTCATAACTTACTTATCTTTTGCTCGTGTTTAAAGACTGCTAATCTTAATCTCGTACGACTTAGCATTTCGGCAATCGCTTAAACTATCCGTTAGACACCGGGTTTATTTTTCGTGTGTCACACTTACAATGTTTGTATTATCTTAGAAGTGCGTAATTTAAAAAAGTAGATTTACTTAGTCATTGCTCAATGATGCATCAGGAAACGCGTAAATCTATCCGATTGGTTGGCAAAGTGTTAAGTTATACATATATGAGAGTTATACATATATAAGAATATATGATAAAAAGATAAAGAGAATCATATCGCAGTGGTGACGCTTCGTGATCGTACACACTATCATAATTTATCATCTATGTATAAAGAATTTTGTTTAAAATTATGCATTATGAATTTGTTACAGACTTATGAAAAGTGCTGAAACAAATGTTATCGGAACAAATCTAATAATTATTACTCGTTGTTAATAATTATTATAATGTATTAGGCTTAATTATTTTTTTATATAGCAATTAATATTATATCATGGTTATAGTTGGGTTATCAATATTTTTGTTATATGTAAAAAATTTCCATAATTTTATCGCGTTTTCATATAGTTCATAATTAAGGATAGATTATTATTAACGACAAGCATTGTTGCATAGTGAAACCTCGAGAGTGAAATGTCATTTATCTTTTATTATTTCTTCTCGATGTTGACGCACGACCTTTTAACAGGTGCACTTCTTTTTCCGTTGTATCCTTTTTTATAGAATACAATAAACATATTATTTCAATAAAACCTATTTTCTGTATTTTATTCTACGTATTGACATTTCTCTTGCAGACATCTGAAAAAGCGTGAATAATTTGAATAATCTTGATATAAAAACGAAACTACAGATGGAATATTCTCATTCTATTCGAATACATGTTCTAAGATCTATTAATAATCTTATTAACTGCAAAATTATAAATCCTATTTAAAAACACGAAATAGTTTTGGAAAATAAAGACTTTGATGTTATAGAGGAGAGTAAAAGAGTTGTCAATTAGATAATTAGAAATTCAATTTATAAAACTTAAGTGTTTGATTTGTACAGTCATCGTTAAGAAAATCTTTTAACCTCATGAAGACATAATTAAAAGCAATTAAAGCAAGAAGAGTGTGCTATTAAATTTTGTAATCTTGAACTATCAGTATTTGTTGTTGCTAATCACGAGAGCTTGAATCATCCCAACAGTATTTTTCACGAAATTTTTTATTTTTATCAATATTTCTTGACTCAATAAAATTGTTACAAAATAATTATATTTTAATTTTTCTTAAAGTTATAGATTCTTAAAGATTACAATTTTAATATTCTTCTTCAAATGCCATATACTGTCATCAGTGCGTAGGCGCTTCTCTCTCATACACTTGTGGCGCGCACGTAGATTGTATACAAATATGGGGACCTACAGTTTAATGCCGATTCCGAATGACAACTTTTTGATAGAGAGATTTCCTGGGTAAGATACTACTCGGTAGTTTGCCATTGTCTTCCGAGAGGAGACGAGCGTAAATATTTTGGCTCTGCTGAGAATCGAACCCGGGACCTCTATAGTATAGTAGATCAGTGCGCTATCTACTATGCCATGTTCTATGCTAAGTAGTTAAGTTGCTCTGAAATTCTTAAATAAAATATAAATTATCATGTGCGTAAACGTGAGAATCTTATTTCAATGACTTCTTAATAAAAAACGATCTTCATATAGTTTTTGCATATGCGCTTGCTTTGCACAGTACTTCCTCCATAGTCTAGAAAATTATATAGTAAAGTATATCACTCCTTACGTGAACCATTGGACTGCATTTATATCGTATCGTAAAGACTCCTGCAACACCATTCCTTTGAAATCGTCTGTCTATCTGACATCAGAGAAAAAAAGTTTAATCTGAAATTATATATTCAATTTAAATTTATTTATTATGTGATCTACAGATAATAAATCGAAATGTGACGTATATAAAGTTATAAAGAATAAATGTGAATAAATAAAGTTTACGCATGATACGGAACAAATATAAATTGTTTGAATTTATTTTTTAATAATCAAAGAGTTGAATAGACAAATAATTTAAATATAAAAAGATTGAAACAGTTATTTGTTGGAAATAGAAACCACATTAATAATTATTTTAATAGACTATAGTTTTTTCGAATAATATAGTTATGGCAGCTATTTTCTTTTTTCCGTGTGCAAATTGAATTTTCTCTTTTGAATTTGTTGCGTGTCAAATTCGAATTACGCATAACTCTTTCAAAATATATCTCTGCTCCCGTTTTTCGAACCTTCGATCCTTTGAATTTCAACTGTGTGCATGATGTTATCACAATCTAAGTTACGTAACCGATTTTACCGTTGATCAATCAGATTTCCAAGGATTCTGGTTAACTCGAAATTTATATATATAAAACATAACATTAAAATAATATTAAAATAAATTAATCAAAAAAACAATGCGCGCTCTTGCCGATTGCAACGAATCCGTATGAAATTCGACAAGGACGACATGCTGACATACCAAACATTTTGACAGGAGAACGCGCCGAGGTAACAGCGGGCTGATAAAAACCAGCAAGAATAATCAAGAGGTGCTCAGATGCCCAAGCTCCGGTATAGACGAGAGTATAATTAAAGTGCGCGATGGTGAAGTTGGAATCGAGCCGAAATAATCAACGCAGAAGTCTTCAATAAAAAAATTCTTTTATTTTGTGGAACAAGAGTGAAATTAGTGGTCCCCTTCCCCCTCTACCGGCATTTTCCCTGGTTACGGAGCGACACAATAATATGTTTAAAAACTTGTTTCAATGAATTTCTCTTTTTCATTTAAATATATTTTTAAAAAACTACCATAGCAATCATGCTTTTTTTATCCATACTTTGCATTTGTCTCAAATAGTAATTATGCAAATACAAATATATTAAAATATTGAATAATATATAAATTATTAAATTATTATATACTGAAAATTATTAACAATCGTGAAACGTCAGGATATAAATTTCTTAGTGAATAGGAAAAAAGGAAAAATAAATAGGAAAAAAATATACTTGTAAGATTTTTGATTAATCGAATTAGTATAACTGATTTATTTTACAAAATCAAAGAAAAAATTGTAGTTTGCAATATATAAAAATTTATATATATAAACAAAGGATAGTGCACAAACTAAACTAAAAGAATTGAGATTTCTCTGATTAAATTTAATACAAGAACTCAGCAAGGAAGATGAAAATTCTGGGCGTAAAATTTGCACCATTAAATGTACCTCTGGAAAGAAGATTGCAGACATTGGCTGTAGCGATATGGACCTTTGTCATCGTTTTCGGTGATTTTTTGGGATATATTATCATGATTTATCTACTATTCTACACAAAATTGATACGCTACTTTATGGTACTGTATTTATTTTGGATGTATTATGATTGGGACACTTACAATCATGGCGGTAGAAGGTAATAACAATTTATCTTTATATTAATCTATCTATATATCTAATCTATCTATATATTTTAAATTAATCCATTATAAAGTAATTGATATAAAAACATATAATAAATAAAGTCTTTCCAGTTATTAGAAGAAACATTCTATATAACAAAATAAAAATGAAAAAAAATTATTACTTTTACTAAAATTAATACAAAGAAATAATCTGAAAATGAATGGATATTGACTAATCATGTTGTAATTGCTTACAGTAATTTTTGATTCGTCAACTATAATATAATTAAGTACAATTAAATAATCGAAATCGACAATATAGATCATGTCAAACGAGATATTTTTAATAATTTTATTTGCGACAAAAATTTGCGATTTTTAGAATGAGGATAATCATTCATGTTTACTGAATGATTATACTTTAAATTTTAGTGACTTGTGGACAAGAGCGGTGAAAAACAACGTATTTTGGCGTTATTTTTGCAATTATTTTCCGATAAAATTGGTGAAGACAGTTGATCTAGATCCCAAAAAATCTTATTTATTTATTTGTATACCTCATGGTATTTTATCTATAGGAGTGATAGGTTCATTCTCAACAGACGTATTAAACTGCAAAAATATATTTCCTGGACTAAAAAATGAACGTAATCACGCTTGATCAACATTTTAAAACACCTCTAATCAGAGAATATTTTTATTCTACCGGTAAGAATTTTCTTATTTAACTATAGTAATAAATCTTGTATTCAGTATTTTAATATTTTAACATTACACATTTAAATATATTTAAATACATTTGAATAAATATTACTATGTTAATAAATTATATACAAATATATTAAAATAATTGATAATTATAATATATATATATATATATATATATATATATATATATATATATATATATATATATATATTAACATAATTTGTATTAAAGGTATATATTTCTTGTCCATAAAAAATCTAAATCTATGACTAACACTCGTCATATCATACACTGTAATTAATTTTGTTGTGCAATAAGATTAAAATAATAAAAATTTCTGATTATATACAGGTTTTTGCGCTTCTAACGCGAGAAGTATAACGTATTTACTATCGACACCACCAAAAAGCCCGTATACGGGAAGAGCTACGATTCTCATCGCTGGTGGTGTTTCCGAATCGATGGAATCGGTGCCAAATACTTATCGTACTATCATAAAAAAAGGAAGGGTTTCGTGAAATTAGCATTAAAATACGGGTAAATAATTATATATTTTCTAATTTTTGCGTGAATAAGTTTTAATTGTAACATACATTATATATTCTTATTATTTATGAGCGTTTTTATGAGCGTTTCATGAAAATCACATGTCTCAAAAAGTATTATTTGGTAATCTGCTCGCAAATAACTTTTAGAATAATATATAAATCATGTAGATCATGTATAAAATAGAAAAAATATGATTTAGCACATCATTAGTTCCTGTTTTATCTTTTGGTGAAACGGACTTATACAATCAGTTATATCATCCAAAAGGATCGACTTTCAGACGAATACAGAACTACATTCGCAGTTTTATTGGATTAGCACCCGTCATTTTCTCAGGCAGAGGATTTTTTCAGTATTCCTTTGGTCTTATTCCGAAGCGAGTACCTATTACTGTAGTCGGTAAAATTCTCTTGTAAATTGCAAATTAATATATATTATTTAATTATATTTAATATAATGAATCAGTAATGAGTCACAAAAATTTGATATTTTTCTTTGTTTTCTTTGTTTAGTTGGTAGTCCTATTAAGCTGCCGAAAATAGCAGAACCCACGGGACAGCAAATTGATGAATATCATAAAAAATTTCTGAAATGTTTAGTTGAACTCTTTGAAACACAAAAATACAATTATATAAAAAATGCAGAAAAAGTTTCTCTGGAATTGAATATATAACATGTTTGATCGAATAGTTTAGAATAATTAGTTTAGAATAATTTAGAATGTAAATTTACTCCTAATTGGAATTTTATTTTTAACAAATAAAATTAAACTTTCCAAATCTATAAATAAATTTTATTTGTATTATTATTATTATCCTTAGTTCATAACCTGTCTCAATAAATCAAAATTTATAAAGAAATATACATAGAAAAATAAAATAAAATAAATAAAATAAAATTAATATAATAATATAATAATATTATTATCGCATAGTATGTGTTATTTATTTTTTGTTTATATTTGTATATCTATATTATATTACATACTAAATATGTAATTATTCTTGTACGTACATATTCTTGCATATCATTCGCATATTTATAAATTATTGTAAAAATTAACATTATTGTTCAAAATTAAAATAAATCTTTTTTTTACATTTTTTATAATATTTAATAATTAATTTATTATATGATTTATGTAATTTATTTAAATATACAACTATAATAAGCTAATTGTAAAAATGGTATATAATGGTATATATATATATATATATATATATATATATATATATATATAC